ATATGTTATCTATGAAAATAAATCATAAATTGAAAATATAATAAAAAATTCAAAGCTAAATATTTATATTTCATAGTACCCATTACTATATTATTGATTAATAATAGTATTACAAATAAAATATCTGTTCATTTTAACAAGGGCCCTAAGTATCTCCAAAAATATTGGTTATTTACTATGTAAAGTTGGAAGTGAAATGTCTCGATTTCTGTTTAAAATACATACATTACCCAGTTAAAATGGCTTTTATCCAAAAGTCAGTCAATAGCAAATGCTGGTGAAGATGTGGAGAAAAGGGAACCCTTGCACGCTGTTAGTGGAAATGTAAATTAGTACAACCACTATGGAGAACAGTTTGGAAGTTCCTCAAAAAACTAAAGATTGAGCTACCATAGGATCCATAATCCCACTGCTGGGTATATACCCAAAAGAAAGGAAATCAGTATATTGAAGAGATATTTGCACTCCTATGTTTATTGTAGCATTATTTACAATAGCCAAGATTTGGAAGAAGCAACCTAAGGGTCCATCAACAGATGAATGGAAAAAGAAAATGTGATATATTTACACAATAGAGTACTATTCAGCCATCAAAAAAGAATGAGATCCTGTCATTTGCAAAAACATGGGTGGAACTGGAGATCATTATGTTAAGTGAAATAAGCCAGGCACAGAAAGACAAACTTCACATGTTTTCACTCATTTGTAAGAGTAAAAATTAAAACAGTTGAACTCATAGAAATAGAGAGCAGAAGCATGGTCACCAGAGGCTAGGAAGAATAATGGGGTGTTGGGGAAGTGGGTATGGTTAATGAGTACAAAAAATAGTTAGATAGAATACATATGATGTAGTATTTGCCCACACAACAGGGTGATTATAGCCAAAAATAATTTAATTGTACATTTAAAAATAGCTAAAAGAGTATAATTGGATAGTTTGTAACACAAAGGATAAATGCTTGAGGTAATGGATGCCCCATCTACCCTGATGTGATTATTATGCATTGCATACCTGTATCAAAATATCTCATATACACCATAAATATACACAACTACTGTGTACCTGTATTAGTCTGTTTTCGTGCTGCTGATAAAGACATACCTGAGACTGGGCAATTTACAAAAGGAAGTGGTCTATTGGACTTACAGTTCCCTGTGGCTGGAGAGGCCTCACAATCATGGTGGAAGGCAAACAGCTTGTCTCACGTGGTGGCAGACAAGAGGAGAGAGCTTGTGCAGGGAAACTCCCCTTTTTAAAACCATCAGATCTCGTGAGACTTATTGTCACGAGAACAGCACAGGAAAGACCTGCCCCTATGATTCAATTAGTTCCCACTGGGTCCCTCCCACAACATTTGAGAATTCAAGATGGGATTTGGGTGGGTTCACAGCCAAACCATATCAGCACCTGCAAAAATTTAAAATTAAAAAAAAAACCATACATTAAAGATTTTTTACTAACTAGACTGACATTCCTACTAATTTCAGTGTGGGGAATTTATTATTTATTATATACAGCTTTAGGGCTACATTTGCCGTAACATTTTATATACAGCTTCAGGGCTACATTTGCTATAACATTTCAGCTCATAAAATTGCTTTAAGAGAAACATATGTTTAAAAGACCTAAAAAAGACAGTCTATAAAGAATGTTTAAGACTTCTCTAATCTATGGATAATCCACTTAAGGTCTTTACTTTGTTTATTTTCGATTCCTTTCAATGGAGTTGTGATGTTACCATCTAAATAATTAGTCACACTTAGTTTATGAATGTCGTTTGAACAAATTAGTTATAAAAGCCATTCAAAACATAATCTTGATAAGTAAAACTGTCAGCAAACATACGCAAATAAAACACAACCAGTATACTTTTAAATATGGCTGTGTTATGTTTTGATGATCAGATTTCATAAAGCCAGCAAGCTGGGCAATTCATGTATTTAGTTAAAAGCAAGATGTCTGAAGAGTATGATATAGGTGATTTAAAAGATTAATGAAAGTAATTACTTTTGTAAGTATACACTTAAAACGGAAGGGAATATATGACTCCCATTTGTGAAGTGAATCTATTTACTTGATTTTCTATGATGTTATGTTAATTTGACATTAAGAGGACACTTGAATATGTTAACTTCTGTAGCTGTATTTCCTCCCTGGTTAAAAATTCATGTCTATATTAAAATCAGACTTATTTTAGGGCTCTGAAATACTTATACTGCCAGAGTTTTTTCATTTGCTATCCTTCATAATTGAAGAGGACAGCACAGATCCAATCATTAACATGACCTATGCTCTTGGTTATTTTTCTAATAGCAGTGCTTAGATTGGGAGATCCCAGTTCTCCCAGGATAGCCCCAACTTTCTCTTTCAGTGAGACTTTCTGCAGATATTCTCAATTTACTCCACACTATTCAGCGTCCTACTCACAAGTTTTGAATTTGTAGCATGCCTTCTTTATTCCTCCATCTAAAATGTAGCTCCTTTCTCCCCCAGCCCTTCAAGGTTTGCTCCAGTGTTACTGCTACATAAAACCTTTTGTGATTTTTTCTTCATTCTGGGTGTAACTGTTTGTTCCCTCCTCCGGCACTCCACAGAATTGAATTTGTATCATTGTGATAGAAAGGGCATGGGTTTTAGAGACCAAATCCAGTCTTTACTAACTTTTCTGAGCCCTGAACTCCTTAAGTCTTAATTTCCCTGCCTATCAAATTGAAATAATAATACCTTGCAGGGTTGTTGTGAGGAATAAATGAGAGAATGTGTGCAATAGGCCAACCACAGTATCTGGCACCTTTAGGTGCCTAAACATTTAGGCAACATAGTAACTGTTAACTTCTTGCCATATGCTCTGCTTTCTTATCAAACATTGGTTTGCACTGTAGTAGTTTCTATATCTTATTTCCATCCCCTCCCCTTTGCCCAATCATGCCTTTCCAACTAAATCGGGAGCTTTTTGAGGGCAAGAACCTGGTTTATTCACTATATGTTAATTCATTCACCTAATATCTATTCATTTTGTTTGGCAGTGTCTGTTTTAGGCACTGGATGATGTATAGGTGATGATATCCATCTTGACCTAGTACAGCTTGCTTGTCAGTGGTGAAAAATGCATCAACATTTATGGTACAGTTATTGTATATAAGCTATGATAGAGCATGTGCAGGTGCCATGGGAGCCCTGAGGAGGCTCAACTCTCAGAATACATGTCTGTGGTATGGAAGAAGGTGATAGGGAGAAGGTAGCACTCAAACTGAGTCTTAAGGGATAAGTAGGAGTTTTCTAAGTGGAGCACAGAGAAAGCAGCATTATGGTTGTTAAAAACAGGCAGGACTTGAATCACAGAAAACACTAGAAAGTGATCCAGATCATATTGTTGGTGCTGAGCAAACATATTAACAATGAGAGTGGAAAGAAGGGACATATTGAAATAGGTTTACAGGGCTAACTTTAGCCTTTATAACCATGTGGAGGGTGAGGGGAAAGAGAAATTAACGGTAACTCCTGTGTGTGATCTACCAATCATGAGGCAGGTACTTGGTGTGGTTCTTAATTCATAGCAGATATCCAGTAAGTATTTGTTTAAATGACTTGGTATGTGCTAATTTCATCTGAAACTTCCAGGTCAAGCTCCCCTGTGGTCAGCCGTGCCTACTGGGGAGCACTAATGCTTGTTTTAGAATTCAGTAAGGTTAATTCTACATACATAATAGATCTTTAACTGTTATATAAGTGCTCTAACCAACTCAGGTCATTAAAATATTGTATCATGGATGGTTATTGTTAAAACACTTACTTTTCCTCTGTCATATTTTTATACTTTTTTTTGTGAAACCAAATGAAGTAAACCATTTAGCAAATTCCGCCCTCTTAAAATCAAATATCCTGGAGTGAATGATGACATGCTTTACAAAGCACAGCATAATTCAACATATGAGGCTCCCTTCAAGCTGAAGAAAACTGAACGTGACAGTATAAATTTTGAAATTCACGAAGTCCCAGAGGGCACATAGAAATACTGGCAGAAAATAGAAAAAGTAAAAGCTTTTCTGAAGTCTCCTGGAAAAAATGATTGAGTCATCACAACATTCTTAGCACTGATAAGAGCACTGGAGAACTCGAGCCCTGTCCAATGTCAGCTACTGCACAGAACAGCCAGGGTGCTCCCTCTTTCTCATCTTCCCCATTAAAAATTTGAAAAGGCTGTTTTGGAAACATTTTTATTAGCAATTGAGCAGTAGTTTCCATATTAAGAATGGCTTCTATTGCCTCTCCCTTTTTAATTTTTTACAAAATGAATTATGCCAGTGCCTCTACTTTTCCATGTAGATCTTTAGGTTTGTAACAATTTTTGATTCCTCTAGATGATCTCCAAATTGATTTAAATTTTTGTATTTTTTTAAAATTATACTTTAAGTTCTAGGGTACATGTGCACAGTGTGCAAGTTTAGTACATATGTATACATGTACCATGTTGGTTTGCTGCACCCATTAACTCGTCATTTACATTAGGTATATCTCCTAATGCTATCCCTCCCCCCTCCCCCCTCCCCACAATAGGCCCCAGTGTGTGATGTTCCCCTTCCTGTGTCCAAGTGATCTTGTTGTTCAATTCCCACCTATGAGTGAGAACATGCGGTGTTTGGTTTTCTGTTCCTGCGATAGTTTCCTGAGAATGATGGTT